AATTTGGGGGGGAAAAGGAAATTTGGGATGAAATGGGGCTGGTTTGGGGCGAAAATGACAAATTTTGGGGTGCAAAAGGTGCATTTTGGGGTGAAGAAGGCAAATTTTGGGGTGAAAAAAGTCAAATTTTGGGGTGAAAAGTTGAAATTGGGGGTTCCAAAGGCGGATTTGGGGTGCAAAGTGCAGATACCGAGGTAAAAAAAGCCAAATTTATGGATTCCAAAGGCGGGTTTGGGGTGCAAAGTGCGGATATTGAAGTAAAAAAGTTGATTTTATGGGGTGCAAAGTGCAGATATTGAGGGGAAAAAATCAAATTTATGGGTTCCAAGGGCGGATTTGGGGTGCAAAGTGCAGGTTTTAGAGCAAAAAAGTCGAATTTATGGGTTGCAAAGGCGGATTTGGGGTGCAAAGTGCGGATTTTAGGGGTGAAAAGTGCAGATTTTAGAGCAAAAAAGTCAAATTTATGGGTTCCAAGGGCGGATTTGGGGTGCAAAGTGCGGATTTGGGGTGATAAATGTGCAGATTTTAGAGCAAAAAAGTCAAATTTATGGGTTCCAAGGGCGGATTTGGGGTGCAAAGTGCGGATTTTGGGTGATAAGTGCGGATTTTAGGGGTGATAAGTGCGGATTTGGGGTGCAAAGTGCGGATTTTGGGTGATAAGTGCGGATTTTAGGGGTGATAAGTGCGGATTTGGGGTGCAAAGTGCGGAAATCCTGGGGGTTCCCTTGCAGATTTTGGGGGTTTCACCTCAAAATCCTGGGGTTTTACCCTTAAAATCTTGGGGTTTTACCTTTGAAATCTTGGTGGATTTACCTCAAAACTTTGGGGGGTTTTTCCTCAAAATCCTGGGGGTTCCCTTGCAGATTTTTGGGGTTTTCCCCACAAAATTTTGAGGGTTTTACCTCAAAATCTTTTAAGGGCTTCCCCTTACAATTTTGGGGTTTTCCCCTCCAGATTCTGGGGGTTTTCCTTTTCAGATCTTGGGGTTTTCCCCTTAAAATCCTGGGGGTTCCCTTGTAGATTTTGGGGGTTTCACCTCAAAATTCTGGGGTTTTACCCTTAAAATCTTGGAGGTTTTACCTCAAAATTTTGGGAGTTTTTCCTCAAAATCTTGAGGTTTCCCCTCAAAATCTTGGGGTTTTCCTCTAAAAATCTTGTGGGTTTTTCCTTAAAATTTTGGGGGTTTACCCTTAAAATCTTGGGGTTCTTACCCCAAAATTCTGGGGGCTTTCCCTTAAAATTTTGGGGTTTTCCCCTCAAAATCCTGGGGCTTTACCCTTAAAATCCTGGGGGTTCCCTTGCAGATTTTGGGGGTTTCACCTCAAAATCCTGGGGTTTTACCCTTAAAATCTTGGAGGTTTTACCTCAAAATTTTGGGAGATTTTTCTCAAAATCTTGAGGATTTCCCCTCAAGATCTTGGGGTTTTCCTCTGCAAATCCTGGGGGTTCCCTTGCAGATTTTGGGGTTTTCCCCTCAAAATTTTGAGGGTTTTTATCTCAAAATTCTGGGGGCTTTCCCTTAAAATTTTGGGGTTTTTCACTCAAAATCCTGGGGCTTTACCCTTAAAATCCTGGGGTTCCCTTGCAGATTTTGGGGTTTTCCCCTCAAAATTTTGAGGGTTTTTATCTCAAAGTTCTGGGGGCTTTCCCTTAAAATTTTGGGGTTTTCCTCTCCAAATTCTGAGGTTTTTCCCTTTCAAAATCATGGGGTTTTCCCCTAAAAATCTTGGAGGTTTCCTCTCAAAATCTTGGGGTTTTCACCTCAAAATCCTGGGATTTTCCCCTCAAAAGCTTCAGGCTTCCCCCTCAAAAATTTGGGGGTTTCCCCTCAAAATCTTGGGAGGTTCCCCTTCAAAATCCTGGGGTTCTCCCCTGAAAACGTTGGGGCTTTGCCCTCAAAAATGTCAGGGTTTTCCCTCAAAATTTTGGGGTTTTCCCTTCAAAATCCTGGGGTTTCCCTTTCAAATTCTGGGGTTTCCCTCTCCAATTTTTGGGCGTTTTCCCCTCAAAATCCTGGAGGTTTCCCCTCAAAATTTTTTGGCTTTTCCCCTAAAAATCCCGGAGTTTTTCCCCTCAAAATCTTGGGGGTTTCCCCAAAAAAATTCCTGAGGTTCCCCCCCCCAAATCCTGGGGTTCTTCCTTCCCAAATCCCAGGGTTCTTGCCCCAAAGTCTTGGGGTTCTTCCCCCCCAGTGCCCCCAGTTCACTCCCAGTGCCCCCAGTCCACTCCCAGTCCCCACCCAGGACTGGGATGGACTGGGACGGACTGGGATGGACTGGGTTAGAGTGGGGATGGACTGGGACGGACTGGGACGGACTGGGTTAGAGTGGGAATGGACTGGGACGGACTGGGATGGACTGGGAATGGACTGGGTTAGAGTGGGAATGGACTGGGATGGACTGGGATGGACTGGGATGGACTGGGAATGGACTGGAATGGACTGGGAGTGAACTGGGAATGGGCTGGGACAGACTGGGTGTGAACTGGGAGTGAACTGGGAATGGACTGGGTTATACTGGGAGGGACTGGGAGTAACTGGGGTAAACTGGGAGGGACTGGGGAGAGATAAGGAAGCGCTGGGAGCACTGGGGGTTACTGGGAGGCACTGGTTTATACTGGGAAGCACCGAGGCAGTGCCAGGGGCCTGGCTGGGGTTCCTGGTTTATACTGGTTTGTACTGGTTCTAACTGGTTCTAACTGGTTCTAACTGGTCCGTGCCCCCACAGGCAGTATTGCCAAGTGTCTGAGCCATACTGGTTCATACTGGTTTATACTGGTTCATACAGGTCCATTGTGGTTTACACTGGTTCTAACTAGTTTATACTGGTCTGTACTGGTCCATACTGGTTCTAACTGGTCCATACTGGTTCATACTGGTTTATACTGGTTGTAATTGGTCTGTACTGGTCCATAGTGGTCTATACTGGTTCTGACTGGTCCATACTGGTTCATACTGGTTCTGACTGGTCTGTGCTCCCGCAGGCAGCATCGCCAAGCGGCTGAGCCATACTGGTTTATACTGGTTCATACAGGCCCATTGTGGTTTACACTGGTTCTAACTAGTTTATACTGGTCTGTACTGGTCCATACTGGTTCTAACTGGTCCGAGGGGACTTGAGGACATTGAGGGGTCTTGGGGACATTGACGGGTCTTGGGGGATGTGAGGGACGTTGGGTGTTCCTTGAGTTGGGTCAACCACGGAGAGCTGGGAGCCACATCTAGGATGGGTTCAGAGGGTGAGGTGGGGACACTTTGGGGTCTTGGGGACACCTTGGGGACACCTCGGGGACCTTGGGGACATGGAGGGGTCTTGGGGATGTGAGGGACGTTGGGTGTTCCTTGAGCTGGGTCAGCCATGGAGAGCTGGGAGCCACATCTGAGGTGGGGACATTTGGGGTCTTTAGGACATTGTGGACACCTTGGGGACATTTGGGGTCTTTAGGACATTGGGGACACCTTGGGCATTCCTTGGGGACACTGGGGACATTGAGGGGTCTTGGGGATGTTGGGTGTTCCTTGAGTTGGGTCAACCACGGAGAGCTGGGAGCCACATCTAGGATGGGTTCAGAGGGTGAGGTGGGGACATTGGGGGGTCTTGGGGACATTGAGGGGACTTGGGGACATTGAGGGACATTGGGTGTTCCTTGAGTTGGGTCAGCCATGGAGAGGTGGGAGCCACGTCTGAGATGGAGACACTTTGGGGACATTTGGGGTCTTTAGGGCATTGTGGACACCTTGGGGACATTGAGGGGTCTTGGGGACACGAGGGAGGTTGGGTGTTCCTTGGGTTGGGTCAGCCATGGAGAGCTGGGAGCAGAGGAGCCACATCTGAGGTGGGTTCAGAGGGTGAGGTGGGGATGTTTGGGGTCTTGGGGACCTTGGGGACACCTTGGGGACCTTGGGGACACCTTGGGGACATCGAGGGGACTTGAGGACATTGAGGGGTCTTGGGGACATTGACGGGTCTTGGGGGATGTGAGGGACGTTGGGTGTTCCTTGAGTTGGGTCAACCACGGAGAGCTGGGAGCCACATCTAGGATGGGTTCAGAGGGTGAGGTGGGGACACTTTGGGGTCTTGGGGACACCTTGGGGACACCTCGGGGACCTTGGGGACATGGAGGGGTCTTGGGGATGTGAGGGACGTTGGGTGTTCCTTGAGCTGGGTCAGCCATGGAGAGCTGGGAGCCACATCTGAGGTGGGGACATTTGGGGTCTTTAGGACATTGGGGACACCTTGGGCATTCCTTGGGGACACTGGGGACATTGAGGGGTCTTGGGGATGTTGGGTGTTCCTTGAGTTGGGTCAACCACGGAGAGCTGGGAGCCACATCTAGGATGGGTTCAGAGGGTGAGGTGGGGACACTTTGGGGACATTTGGGGTCTTCAGAGAATTGGGGACACCTTGGGGACACCTTGGGGGTGTCACATGGCTTGGGGACATTGAGGGGTCTTGGGGACATTGGCTGTTCCTGGAGTTGGGTCAGCCACGGCCGTGGTGGGTCCAGGCCCGCGCATCTGAGGTGGCTTTAGGGATTGGGGTGGGGACACTTGGGGACATCGGGGGACGCTTGGGGACATCAGGGGACACTTGGGGACATCAGGGGACGCCTGGGGACTCCTTGAGTTGGGTCAACCACGGAGAGCTGGGAGCCACATCTAGGATGGGTTCAGAGGGTGAGGTGGGGACACTTTGGGGACATTTGGGGTCTTCAGAGAATTGGGGACACCTTGGGGACACCTTGGGGGTGTCACATGGCTTGGGGACATTGAGGGGTCTTGGGGACACTGGCTGTGGCTGGAGTTGGGTCAGCCACGGCCATGGTGGGTCCAGGCCCACGCATCTGAGGTGGCTTTAGGGATTGGGGTGGGGACACTTGGGGACATCGGGGGACGCTTGGGGACATCAGGGGACACTTGGGGACATCAGGGGACGCCTGGGGACATCAGGGGACGCTTGGGGACATCAGGGGACGCTTGGGGACCTGCTGGTGTCCCCTGCTGTCCCCGGTGACCGTGTCCCTGTCCCCCAGGTGGACAAGGGCGTGGTGCCCCTGGCTGGCACCAACGGCGAGACCACGACCCAGGGTGAGTGACAGCTCTGTCCCCAAGGCCACCAGCGTGTCCCTGTCCTTGTCACCGCCGTGTCCTCAATGCCACCACAGTGTCCCCATCCCTGTGTCACCGCTGTGTCCCTGATGCCACCACGGTGTCCCCATCCCTGTGTCACCACCGTGTCCCCGATGCCACCACGGTGTCCCCATCCCTGTGTCACCGCTGTGTCCCTGATGCCACCACGGTGTCCTCATCCCTGTGTCACCACCGTGTCCCCAGTGCCACCACGGTGTCCCCATCCCTGTGTCACCACCGTGTCCCCAGTGCCACCACGGTGTCCCCATCCCTGTGTCACCCTCCCAGCCCAGCCCGTGCCACCACAGGGTCCCGTGTCCCCGATGTCCCCAATGTCCCCAAGGTGCTCACAATGCCCCGTGTCCCCTGTGCCACTGATGTCCCCAATGTCCTCAGGACTTGATGGCCTCATGGAGCTCCTGCGATGCTCAATGTCCCCAATGTCCCTAGTGTCCCCAACGTCCCCAGGGCTGGACAGGTTCATGGAGCTCCCTCAGTGCCCTTTGTCCCTTGTCCCCTCAGTGTCCCCAATGTCCCCAATGTCCCCAGTGTCCCCAGTGTCCCCAGTGTCCCCAGTGTCCCCAATGTCCCCAATGTCCCCAGTGTCCCCAATGTCTCCAATGTCCTCAGTGTCCCCAGCACTCTCCAGGTCCTCCATGGCCACAATGTCCCCATTGCCTCCAGTGTCCCCATTGCCCCCAATGTCCCCAACGCCCCCGATGTCCCCAGTGTCCCCTGCTGTCCCCAGGGCTCGATGGCCTCATGGAGCGCTGTGCCCAGTACAAGAAGGACGGCGCCGACTTTGCCAAGTGGCGCCGTGTCCCCAGTGTCCCCGGTGTCCCCAGTGTCCCCAGGGCTGGACAGGCTCATGGAGCTCCCTCAGTGCCCTGTGTCCCTTGTCCCCTCAGTGTCCCCGATGTCCCCAATGCCCCCATTGCCCCCAATGCCCCCAATGTCCCCAATGTCCCCAGTGTCCCCAGTGTCCCCAGTCCCCCAATGTCCCCAGTGTCCCCAATGTCTCCAATGTCCTCAGTGTCCCCAGCACTCTCCAGGTCCTCCATGGCCACAATGTCCCCAATGCCCCCATTGCCCCCAATGTCCCCAGGGTCCCCAGTGTCCCCAATGTCCCCAGGGTCCCCAGTGTCCCCAATGTCCCCAGGGTCCCCAGTGTCCCCAGGGCTGGACAGGCTCATGGAGCTCCCTCAGTGCCCTGTGTCCCTTGTCCCCTCAGTGTCCCCGATGTCCCCAATGCCCCCATTGCCCCCAATGCCCCCCCAATGTCCCCAGTGTCCCCAATGTCTCCAATGTCCTCAGTGTCCCCAGCACTCTCCAGGTCCTCCATGGCCACAATGTCCCCATTGCCTCCAGTGTCCCCATTGCCCCCAATGTCCCCAACGCCCCCGATGTCCCCAGTGTCCCCTGCTGTCCCCAGGGCTCGATGGCCTCATGGAGCGCTGTGCCCAGTACAAGAAGGACGGCGCTGACTTTGCCAAGTGGCGCTGCGTGCTGAAGATCACGGCGCACACGCCCACGCGCCTCGCCGTCATGGAGAACGCCAACGTCCTGGCGCGCTACGCCAGCATCTGCCAGCAGGTCACCCGCGTCCCCAGCTGTCCCCAGATGTCCCCAACCCGGCCCCAGCCCGGCCTCGGGACGGGGGGATCAAAGGGTGGGGGCTGGGTGGGGGTTGGTGGCACCTGGAGAGGGTTTGGTGGCATCTAGACCAGGTCTGGTGGCATCAAGAGGGGGTGTGGTGGCACCTGGAGAGGGTGTGGTGGCACCTGGAGAGGGTTTGGTGGCATCAAGAGGGGGTGTGGTGGCACCTGGAGAGGATTTGGTGGCACCTAGACCAGGTTTGGTGGCATCAAGAGGGGGTGTGGTGGCACCTGGAGAGGGTTTGGTGGCATCTAGACCACGTTTGGTGGCATCTAGATGAGGTTTGGTGGCACCTCAGTGTGCTTAAGTCACCTCCAGGTGTCCCCAACCTGTCCCAGTGCCACCTCCAGGTGTCCCAGAGGGGTTGGTGAGGGTGGGTGACACCTCAGGGTGGCATCTAGAGGGGGTTTGGTGGCACTTAGAGGGGGTTTGGTGGCATCTGGGAAGGGCTTGGTGGCACCTGGGATAGGTTTGGTGGCACCTGGAGAGGATTTGGTGGCACTTTGAGAGCATTTGGTGGCACCTAGACCAGGTTTGGTGGCACCTCAGTGCCCTTGTGTCCCCTCCTGCTGTCCCCACCTGTCCCCTGGGGCTGTCCCCTGTCCCCTCCCTGTGTCCCCAATGTCCCCCTGTGTCTGACGTGTCCCTGATGTCCCTGGTGTCCTCCTGTGTCTGACGTGTCCCCACTGTCCCCAATGTCCCCAATGTCCCCGCTGTCCCCGTGTCTGATGTGTGACGTGTCCCCGTATCCCCAGAACGGCATTGTCCCCAATGTCCCCAGTGTCCCCAATGTCCCCGTGTCCCCTGTGTGACGTGTCCCTGTGTCCCCGTGTCCCCAGAACGGCATTGTCCCCAATGTCCCCGTGTCCTCTGTGTGACGTGTCCCCGTGTCCCCTGTGTGACGTGTCCCCGTGTCCCCAGAACGGCATTGTCCCCATCGTGGAGCCCGAGATCCTGCCGGACGGTGACCACGACCTCAAGACGTGCCAGTACGTCACCGAGAAGGTCAGTGCCACCCCCCGTGTGTCCCCGAGCGTCCCCGAGTGTCCCCTGGGGCCCTGAGCCCTCGCTTGGGGGGTGACACCGGCAGGTGGCACCTGGAGAGGCTTTGGTGACATCTGGGGGGGGTTTGGTGGCACCTGAGGGGGTTTGGTGGCATCTGGGCGGCCTTGAGTCACCTCCCGGTGTCCCCAACCCATCCTGGTGTCACCTCCCGGTGTCCCCAACCCCTTCCAGTGTCACCTCCCGGTGTCCCCCAGGGTTTGGTGGGACAAGGTGACACTGAGAGGTGACACCTGAGGGCTTTGGTGGCACCTGGGTGGCTTTGAGTCCCCTCCCGGTGTCCCCAAGCTGTCCTGGTGTCACCTCCTGCTGTCCTGTGGTGGTTGGTGACACCAAGAGGTGACACCTGAGGGGGTTTGGTGGCACCTGAGGGGGTTTGGTGGCACCTGGCCTGTCCCCAGTGTCCCCATGTCCCCAGGTGCTGGCAGCCGTGTACAAGGCCCTCAGTGACCACCACGTGTACCTGATGTCCCCATGATGTCCCCAGTGTCCCCATGATGTCCCCATGTCCCCAGGTGCTGGCAGCCGTGTACAAGGCCCTCAGTGACCACCACGTGTACCTGGAGGGGACACTGCTGAAGCCCAACATGGTGACAGCGGGACACGCCTGTGCCACCAAGTACAGCCCCGAGGAGATCGCCATGGCAACCGTCACCGCGCTGAGACGGACGGTGCCACCCGCTGTCCCTGGTGAGTGTCACTGTCACTGTGTCATTGTCACTGTCACTGTGTGTCATTGTCACTGTGTGTCATTGTCACTGTGTCACTGTCACTGTGTGCCACGGCAACCGTCACCGCGCTGAGACGGACGGTGCCACCCGCCGTGCCAGGTCAGTGTCATTGTCACTGTGTCATTGTCACTGTCACTGTGTGTCATTGTCACTGTGTGTCATTGTCACTGTGTGCCATGGCAACCGTCACCGCGCTGAGACGGACGGTGCCGCCCGCCCTGCCAATGTCCCCATGATGTCCCCATGATGTCCCCAATGTCCCCATGATGTCCCCAGTGTCCCCATGATGTCCCCATGTCCCCAGGTGCTGGCAGCCGTGTACAAGGCCCTCAGTGACCACCACGTGTACCTGGAGGGGACACTGCTGAAGCCCAACATGGTGACAGCGGGACACGCCTGTGCCACCAAGTACAGCCCTGAGGAGATCGCCATGGCAACCGTCACCGCGCTGAGACGGACGGTGCCACCCGCCGTGCCAGGTCAGTGTCATTGTCACTGTGTCATTGTCACTGTGTGTCATTGTCACTGTCACTGTGTGCCATGGCAACCGTCACCGCGCTGAGACGGATGGTGCCGCCTGCTGTGCCAGGTCAGTGTCATTGTCACTGTGTCATTGTCACTGTCACTGTGTGCCATGGCCACCGTGACTATCCCACTGTCCCCTGCCTGTCCCAGTGTCCCCAGGCTGATGTCACAGTGTCACCTCAATGTCCCCTCGCTGTCCCCACCAGGGATCACGTTCCTGTCGGGGGGTCAGAGTGAGGAGGAGCTGTCACTGTCCCTCAGCGCCATCACCCGCTGTCCCCAGTGTCCCTGAGCTATCTCAGTGTCCCCAGGCTGTGTCAGTGTCCCCAGGCTGATGTCACAGTGTCACCTCAATGTCCCCTCGCTGTCCCCACCAGGGATCACGTTCCTGTCGGGGGGTCAGAGCGAGGAGGAGGCCTCCCTGAACCTCAACGCCATCAACCGCTGTCCGCTGCCGCGGCCCTGGGCGCTGACCTTCTCGTACGGGCGCGCCCTGCAGGCCTCGGCCCTCAAGGCCTGGGGCGGCAAGAAGGACAACACCAAGGCGGCCCAGGAGGAGTACGTCAAGAGAGCCCTGGTAGGTGGCACTTGGGGGGTCTTGGGGACATTGAGGGGACTTGGGGACATTGAGGGACATTGGGTGTTCCTTGAGTTGGGTCAGCCATGGAGAGGTGGGAGCCACGTCTGAGATGGAGACACTTTGGGGACATTTGGGGTCTTTAGGGCATTGTGGACACCTTGGGGACATTGAGGGGTCTTGGGGACGTTGGGTGTTCCTTGGGTTGGGTCAGCCATGGAGAGCTGGGAGCCACATCTGAGGTGGGTTCAGAGGGTGAGGTGGGGACACTCTGGGGACATTTGGGGACACCTCGGGGACCTGGGGAGACCTCGGCGACCTGGGGACACCTCGGGGATTTGGGGACATTGAGGGACATTGGGTGATCCTGGAGTTGGGTCAGCCGAGGGTGAGGTGGGGACACTCTGGGGACATTTGGGGACACCTCGGGGACCTGGGGAGACCTCGGCGACCTGGGGACACCTCGGGGACTTGGAGATGTTGGGGACACCTCGGGGACCTGGGGAGACCTCGGGTTGGGTCAGCCATGGAGAGCTGGGAGCCACATCTGAGGTGGGTTCAGAGGGTGAGGTGGGGACACTTTGGGGACATTTGGGGTCTTGGAGATACTGGGGACACCTTGGGGACCTCGAGGACACCTCGGGGACTTGGGGACATTGAGGGACCTTGGGTGTTCCTGGAGTTGGGTCAGCCATGGAGAGCAGGGAGCAGAGGAGCCACGTCTGAGGTGGGTTCAGAGGGTGAGGTGGGGATGTTTGGGGTTTTGGGGACATTGGGGACACCTTGGGGACCTCGAGGACACCTCGGGGACTTGGGGACATTGAGGGACCTTGGGTGTTCCTGGAGTTGGGTCAGCCATGGAGAGGTGGGAGCAGAGGAGCCACATCTAGGATGGGTTCAGACGGTGAGGGGACGTTGGGTGTTCCTGGAGTTGGGTCAGCCATGGAGAGCTGGCAGCCACATCTAGGATGGGTTCAGAGGGTGAGGTGGGGACACTTTGGGGACCTCGGGGACGTTGGGGACACCTCGGGGACGTTGGGGTACAGGGCGGGCGATGGCGGGTTGGCAGGAGGAGGTTTGGGGGTGGCACGTGGGGGACACGGGGACAGGGTGGCCCAGGAGGTCACTGGGGACCTTGGGGACACCGCGCCCCCAATGTCCCCAACACCCCTGGGGTCCCCAAATGTCCCCAGGGTTCCCGGTGTCCTGAGTGTCACCAACATCCCCTGATGTCCCCAAGGCCCCCGATGGTCCTGAATGTCCCCGATGTCCCCAACACCCCTGGGGTCCCCAAGGTTCCCAATGTCCCCAGTGTCCCCAATACTCCAAATGTCCCCAAATGTCCTCAGTGTCCCAAAGCCCCCAGTGTCCCCTCATGTCCTCGATGTCCCCAACACCCCAAATGTCCCCAATGTCCCCTGCTGTCCCTGCTGTCCCTGCTGTCCCCGCTGTCCCTGCTGTCCCCTGCTGTCCCCAATGTCCCTGCTGTCCCTGCTGCCCCTGCTGTCCCCGCTGTCCCTGCTGTCCCCTGCTGTCCCCAATGTCCCTGCTGTCCCTGCTGCCCCTGCTGTCCCCGCTGTCCCTGCTGTCCCCTGCTGTCCCCAATGTCCCTGCTGTCCCTGCTGCCCCTGCTGTCCCCGCTGTCCCTGCTGTCCCCTGCTGTCCCCAATGTCCCTGCTGTCCCTGCTGCCCCTGCTGTCCCCGCTGTCCCTGCTGTCCCCTGCTGTCCCCAATGTCCCTGCTGTCCCTGTTGTCCCTGCTGTCCCTGTTGTCCCCGCTGTCCCCGCTGTCCCCGCTGTCCCCGCTGTCCCCGATGTCCCTGATGTCCCCGCTGTCCCTGATGTCCCCGCTGTCCCCGCTGTCCCTGCTGTCCCTGATGTCCCCGTTGTCCCTGCTGTCCCTGATGTCCCTGATGTCCCCGCTGTCCCTGCTGTCCCCAGGCCAACTCTCTGGCGTGCCAGGGCAAGTACACCCCGAGCGGCGCCGCGGGGGCGGCAGCCAGCGAGTCCCTGTTCGTGTCCAACCACGCCTACTGAGCGCTGACCGCCGGTGGCCACCGCTGACCACTGCTGACCATCCATGGCCACCGCTGACCACTGCTGACCCCCCATGGCCACTGCTGACCACTGTCCACTGACCACTGCTGACCACTGCTGACCATCCATGAACTGCTGACCACTGCCTGACCCTCGTGTCCAACCACGCCTACTGAGCGCTGACCGCCCGTGGCCACCGCTGACCGTCTGCTGACCATCCATGGCCACTGCTGACTGTCCACTGACCACCCACGGACTGCTGACCATCCGCTGACCACTGCTGACCATCCATGGCCACTGCCTGCTGACCATGTCCAACCATGCCTACTGAGCGCCCGCGGCCACCGCTGACCATCGCTGACCATCCATGGCCACTGCTGACCACTGCTGACCATCCATTTGAGCCCAAATTTGGGGGGTTTGGGGCGGTTTGAGCCCAAATTTGGGGGGTTTGGGGGGATTTGAGCCCAAATTTGGGGGGTTTGGGGCGGTTTGAGCCCAAATTTGGGGGGTTTGGGGGGATTTGAGCCCAAATTTGGGGGGTTTGGGGCGGTTTGAGCCCAAATTTGGGGGGTTTGGGGGGATTTGAGCCCAAATTTGGGGGGTTTGGGGCGGTTTGAGCCCAAATTTGGGGGGTTTGGGGGGATTTGAGCCCAAATTTGGGGGGTTTGGGGCGGTTTGAGCCCAAATTTGGGGGGTTTGGGGGGATTTGAGCCCAAATTTGGGGGGTTTGGGGCGGTTTGAGCCCAAATTTGGGGGGTTTGGGGGGATTTGAGCCCAAATTTGGGGGGTTTGGGGCGGTTTGAGCCCAAATTTGGGGGGTTTGGGGGGATTTGAGCCCAAATTTGGGGGGTTTGGGGCGGTTTGAGCCCAAATTTGGGGGGTTTGGGGGGATTTGAGCCCAAATTTGGGGGGTTTGGGGCGGTTTGAGCCCAAATTTGGGGGGTTTGGGGGGATTTGAGCCCAAATTTGGGGGGTTTGGGGCGGTTTGAGCCCAAATTTGGGGGGTTTGGGGGGATTTGAGCCCAAATTTGGGGGGTTTGGGGCGGTTTGAGCCCAAATTTGGGGGGTTTGGGGGGATTTGAGCCCAAATTTGGGGGGTTTGGGGCGGTTTGAGCCCAAATTTGGGGGGTTTGGGGGGATTTGAGCCCAAATTTGGGGGGTTTGGGGCGGTTTGAGCCCAAATTTGGGGGGTTTGGGGGGATTTGAGCCCAAATTTGGGGGGTTTGGGGCGGTTTGAGCCCAAATTTGGGGGGTTTGGGGGGATTTGAGCCCAAATTTGGGGGGTTTGGGGCGGTTTGAGCCCAAATTTGGGGGGTTTGGGGGGATTTGAGCCCAAATTTGGGGGGTTTGGGGCGGTTTGAGCCCAAATTTGGGGGGTTTGGGGGGATTTGAGCCCAAATTTGGGGGGTTTGGGGCGGTTTGAGCCCAAATTTGGGGGGTTTGGGGGGATTTGAGCCCAAATTTGGGGGGTTTGGGGGGATTTGAGCCCAAATTTGGGGGGTTTGGGGGGATTTGAGCCCAAATTTGGGGGGTTTGGGGCGGTTTGAGCCCAAATTTCGGGGATTTGGAGGGATTTGAGCCCAAATTTGGGGAGTTTGGGGGGATTTGAGCCCAAATTTGGGGGGTTTGGGGGGATTTGAGCCCAAATTTGGGGGGTTTGGGGCGGTTTGAGCCCAAATTTGGGGGGTTTGGGGGGATTTGAGCCCAAATTTGGGGGGTTTGGGGCGGTTTGAGCCCAAATTTCGGGGATTTGGAGGGATTTGAGCCCAAATTTGGGGAGTTTGGGGGGGTTTGAGCCCAAATTTGGGGGGTTTGGGGGGATTTGAGCCCAAATTTGGGGGTTTTGGGGCAGTTTTACTCCAAAATTTGGGGATTTGGGGCGGTCTGAGCCCAAATTTGGGGGTTTTGGGAGGTTCTGGGGGGGTTTCACCCCAAAATTTGGGGGTTCTGGGAGGGTAGGGGTCACTTTATCCCCAAATTTGGGAATCCTGGGGATGTTTGGGGGGTTCACCCCAAAATTTCAGAGTTTGGGAGCGGTTTGGGGGCGGTTTGACTCCAAATTTGGGGTGATTTGGGAAGTCTTTACCCAAATTTGGGGGTTCGGGGCAGGTTCTGGGGGGGTTGGACCCCAAAATTTGGGGGGTTTGGGGGGGATTTTGCCCAAATTTGGGGTTTGGAGTGGTTTGGGGCCGGATTTCAGCCTCGATTTGGGTGAATTTGGGGGGGGTTGATCCCAAATTTGGGGGTTTTGGGGAGGTTCTGGGGGAATATCACCCCAAAATTTGGGGGTTTTGGGGAGGTTCTGGGGGTTTGTTCCCCAAAATTTGGGGGGTTGGGGGCATTTCGGGGACATTTTAGCTCAAATATGGGATTTCTGGGTTTTGGGTGGTCTCAAATTTGGGGCTTTGGGGTGATTTGGGGGGGCTTTGAGTCCAAAATTTGGGGGTTCTGGGGAGCTTGTGGGGAGTTTCACCCCAAAATTTGGGGGTTCTGGGAGGGTTTGGGACATTCTGACCCCAAATTTGGGACTCCTGGGGTGGTTTGGGGGGGGTTCTCCCCAAAATTTGGGGTTTCTGGGCTGGTTTGACCCTAAAATTTGGGGGTTTTGGGGGGGTTGAGGGGAGGTTCAGCCCAAATTTGGGGTTTTGGGGTGATTTTGGGGTGGTTTGAGCCCAAATTTGGGGGGTCTGGGGGGGTTTGACCTCCAAATTTGGGGTTTTGTTGTGGTTTGACCCCAAAATTTGGGGGTTTTGGGGTGGTTTGGGATCAATTGATCCCAAATTTGGGGTTCCTGGGGATGTTTTGGGGGAATTTCACCCCAAAATTTGGGGGTTCTGGGAGCGGTTTGGGGGCGGTTTGACTCCAAATTTGGGGTGATTTGGGAAGTCTTTACCCAAATTTGGGGGTTCGGGGCAGGTTCTGGGGGGGTTGGACCCCAAAATTTGGGCAGGATTTTGGGGGATTTTGCCCAAATTTGGGACCCCTGGGGTGATTTGGGGGTGGTTTGACCCCAAATTTGGGGTGCCTGGGGTGGTGTCACCCCAAATTTGGGAGTTTTTGGGGTTTTCAGCACAAATTTTGGTGGGATTTTGGGGGATTTGACCCCAAATTTGGGGGTTTTTGGGGGTTTCAGCACAAATTTTGGTGGGATTTTGGGGGATTTTGCCCAAATTTGGGACCCCTGGGGTGATTTGGGGGTGGTTTGAGCCCAAATTTTGGGGCGTTTGGGGTGGTTTGGGATTGATTGATCCCAAATTTGGGAGTTCTGGAGGGAGTGGGGGTGGTGTGACTCCAAATTTTGGGGTTTGGGGGTGGTGTGACTCCAAATTTTGGGGTTTGGGGGTGGTTTGAGCCCAAATTTTGGGGTTTGGGGGTGGGCTTTGACCTCAAATTTGGAACTTCTGGGGTGGTTTGGGGTGATTTGACCCCAAATTTGGGGGGCTGGGTGGTGTCACCCCAAAATTTGTGGGTTTTGGGGTAGTTTGACCCCAAAATTTCGGGGTTTTGGGATGATTTTACTCCAAAATTTGGGGGTTTTGGGGGGGTTTGGGACAGGATTTCAGCCTCAATTTGGGGCTTTTGGGGTGGTTTGACCCCAAATTTTGGGGTTTTCTTGTGGTTTGACCCCAAATTTGGGGTTTTGGGGTGGTTGGAGCCCAAAAGTTAGGGGGGTTTAGTGTTCTTTTGGGGGATTTTACACCAAAATTTGGGGCTTTTGGAGACATTTCAGCCCAAATTTGGGGGTTTGGGTTGATTTGGGGGGGTTCAGCCCCAAATTTGGGGGTTCTGAGGAGGTTCGGGGGGAGTTTCACCCCAAAATTTGGGGATTCTGGGAGGGTTTGGGACATCTCACCCCAAATTTGGGGGTTTTGGGGACA